CTCACGCTCATCAGGTACAAAGGGTGGGCTCACCCCACCCTCACGCTTATCAGGTACAAAAGGGTGTGCTCACTATACCCTCACACGCAATCAGGTATAAAGGGCAGGCTCATCCCACTCTCACGCTCCTCAGGTACAAAGGGCAGGATCATTCCACCCTCACGCTCATCAGGCACGAAGGATCAGCAGCCAGCTCCGCGAAACGACAAATGCGACACAAGGAAATAACAACTGTATTTATTCGGTGGCGCTGTGTTGGACCGGGATCCATTCAATCCATTCCGCTCTTCAACATCACAGCTTTCCCGCCAGTGTGGCTTGTCATGAATGCTAAATCACGAATCACGTGCTTGAATTCTACACTAAAAATTACTCCCAAGCTGCAAAGCAGTATTCCCCAAGCTTGAACAGCGATATGGCTGAAGTATATTTTGTTTGTGGTGTATTCCAAGCACAGCAGGAGCAATGACAGCGCCGGGGTGAAAACCGATTCATCCATTAACCGATGGATGCTATGGACCGCCGACTGCGGCCAGTGGAGCGCATCGGTGCGGCGCACCATCATTGGACGAAATTGTCAAGTCCTCAACACCACTGACAGGAACAAGAAACCATTCTTTGACAGATTTCGTCACAACCTTTTAAATAGATGGACGTCTGGGATCAGAGCGCACGCTAAGCAGTGTTCGTGGCGTGAGCTATGATCCCACTATCCGATCGTGGATGTCCAGACTAACGGTAAAACTTTCCGGAAAAAGATTACGTGGCGTTTTGCCGAGCACGGTTCGTCTTTCTCGCTGACGTCACCTGACTTTTGGCTCGGCCGCCGCCACCAGCCGCGGGCATTCCCAGTCAGGGGCAACGAGCCTCGCATAGCTAATAACTCGAATCCGCCCAGCCACGAGCGGATGAATCGAAACCCGAAGGCAGCCGCTGTAACAAACTGAACCACGAGAACGAACCAAGGGGGCCATTTGCAGCATGCAATCACATCTTTCGCAGCATCTTCACCCCACACAGAACCAAACCGAATCATTTTCAGCAAACACTAACGTGACTTGATCATACACTAACTGATCCCCGTCAAGGGTTGTACCAACAAAGACACCTGCATGCAGCTTCGCTCCCACACCGTACGCGTTTTCGTCCGAGTGGCTGCCCTCATGCCTGCGGGGGTCTGAAGATGGATTGATGGGTTTTGGACTCATCAAATATGTTCTGTCCATAAACTGTGCTGTGCGTGCAATACAAACGTTAAAATGGCCGCTGCACAAGCTGCTTATCTGGCGATGCCCTAGAACCCCTTACGAACCCACGGTAACGGCACGTGGCTTGATCGAAGCTTATCGTTGTTGGTGGGTAGGTGCCAAGGCGAAGCGCTCAGCCAGCCGCAGGGTCGAGGCTATTCTGCGGTCCCCGGGTTTACTGAATGGCACAAGAAGCTTTTTTCTTTTGCAACTGGCACCGTTCACAGAATGTACTAAAATGCGCTAATGTTTCTGCTCTCATAGTCCGTGGGATGAAGACAAAGGGGCAATGCGTGCGCCTATAACAGAATGCATGTTATCTTGTACATGGCGCAAGTCGCTCTAACGTTCCGCTGACATCGGATCCACTAAGACGGGAGACTCCCTAATCTCGGACAAGATGGCTCTCGCACGCGTGCAGACTGTGGCCTAGGCGTCTATCTCCGTCACAGTGTAGAGCTTACTTTGGATTCTGGAGAGACGGGCGCCTGCTGTACTAGCACCTCTCTGACCGGCCGACACAGACGACCTCTGTGACATGTCTGCTGTGCCAGAACCTCTCTGACCGACCGACACAGACGACCTCTGTGACGTGCCTGCAGTGCCAGCGCCTTTCTGACCGATCGACACAGACGACCTCTCTGACCTGGCAGTTTGCTGCTACCGTCGTCACTTCGCCCCGCATACAACGATTCCCTTTGATGTTGTTTTGCTGTCATTTATTGTGAGCTGCATATTGCTGCATAATAGTAGGTCTTACGCACAACCCAACGGAAGACAGCAAAAAGAATAGGTAGAAACAACTCGATCTAAAGATGCCTTACTTACCCCAGCAATAATGTTTTAATGCTTAGAGTTAGTACAGAAACCGGTTTAACATTTGAGATCAAGGCTCATCCTGGCAACACTCATTCAGGAAGGTTGAGACAGATACCAGCAAAGGGATGGAGAGCAAACCTGAAAAACGTACGAGTAGTGAAAAGGCGACCCTACATTCAATCCACTGGCTTTTGAACCCGTCGAGAAGATGGCATTCGGCATTGGTTCAGTGCTGACACAAGGATAGCGGAAAAGAGAAGCTCGACGAGCCTCTCCGTCGGCACCCTAGCTCGCCATTGGAAAGTTCCAGAGACACGGGCGGCACGAGATGTCCGCTTCAGGCGGCCCCAAGTTAATCGGACATCAAATCCACTTTTCAAACGTTCCAAAAATCCGGGACTGTAACAGATACGTAAGACAGTTAGGTCGATCGTGAAAAGCCAACAGATAACATGGTTTTAAAAGGAACAGACCACGTGCTAATAGCCACTAAAGTCCAACATCGAAAAATCGTTTATGTGTCTGGACGCCGCAAATGCTGACGGGCCGTTTGTTTGTCAATGTTTGTATTTGCCCGCACAGCACTGGAAAACTGTTTTTGATTGAAGTCCCTTCGGCAAGATTAAGATAAGATTCCGAGTACAGGATGTCATTGGCGAAATGTTTGTACTTTTGCGAGATATTTGGTGTCACATTCGTGAAATTAGAGTAATTTATGACAGACCGCAGTCACACAACACTTCAGGCTTGGTCTTGGTGTGTACTCGCGAACAGTGGCAGCGTCTGCTAGTATATGACATTCTCGGAACGTTGACATGAGAAAGCTAAGGCGCCAAAAGTTTCCAAACTTAGCAGTTGGACTCCGGGTAGTTAATACCAGGTGACAAAGTTGTACTTCAAAATATACTGTATCAGTGCTAACATCACTGACCAGTGGTGGCAGTGTTTTTTTTTTCAACGACCGCTAGATCAGTGCTCTTCACATATTTTTCAGCAAAGATTCACTATAAAGACGGTCTAAGATACAAAATAAATAGGCCTTTTTTAGTAGTCGGAATGGCGTTTCGCCCCAGAGCTTTGCGAATAGCGTGATGAGTGTGCTGCGTCGCGTTTTAAATCACCGTGCCGTTTGAGGCAGGTGGTTCGAGTGCTGGCCTCGCTGTTGGCAACTGTAGGCTCACTGCAGGACCGTGTGTACTGGCGTGTAAGTTGCTGCTGGTTGTGTTATCGCCTTGGTTATGCTCGTGCCGTGAAGGGCTCACAGCGTACAAGGACGTAGCTAAACATCGTCTGGTGTAAGGCGCTGTACGGCTCTTGAAAGATTTACCATTGAGGGCGTCCCTGGCATAAGCTTGAGAAAGGACTGGTGATTCAGGAGGCTAATCTTTTTAGGATATCCGAACTGCAGCTGCAGAGAGCAACGGAGGACCCTGAAGCCGACGTACGAGAAAATTTCATCGGGGGGGGGGGGGGGGGGCTTTCAACTGCTGAGATAAGCATCGGCTTTGGGGTGGCAGGCCGGTGGTTTTAAAACACGCATATTGTGTGTTTATACGCAGACCGTTGGCTATCAGACTTGTAAGTTTCAAGGTGCAATTCATAGCCACCCTGCTGCGTGTCACACAGTTGGGAATATCAGTCTGATATCTATCAATGAATGAGACATCACACGTTAAATAGCAAGTATACATCAGTTTGGGATGCAATCGAGACTCGCCCAAGGAGCAAAACAATGATCCTGAACTGAGCAAACTGTTGATGTTGAGTTGGTGCTATCTGGGAGTCCTGCAATGTCTGCCATATTGTCTTACGCGTATCATTTCATTGAACACCTAGCTAATGGTGGTGTTAAGTCTCTTAAAATGTCGGTGGCAAGACAAATCTTTACTATGAGCCTCAGAGCTGTTGTCAGATTTTGAGCCTTGAGCTGTCGGCAAATAAGGCCTTATGTACATGCATCTAATATAACTTTATCAAAACTTCTGCTAGATTTATTCTAAGCATCTTATTTCCCCTTTATGCCAGGGTAATTCTTATGGAATTTACTGCATGATGACCGAGCCGAAAGCGATGCTTCACAATGACCCACTGATTAACCTCCGCCATGAATCGCGCCCTCCATTCTGGCACTCTCCAGCCCGGCGCTCTCCAAAACGACCCTCTCCAGTCCGACCCTTCCCAGTCCGACCCTCCTCAGTACAGCGCTCTCCAGCTCGGCGCTCTCCAGTCCGACGCTCTCCACTCCAGCCCGCCGCTCTCCAGTCCGGCGGTCTCCAGCCCGGCGCTCTCCATTCCCCCCCCCCCCCCAGTGTGTCCCAGCCCCAACTTGCCACATGGACAGTCTGGCAGTAGCAATGCTGGGTAGGTTTGAACTAGCGTTTGGCTCAGCCTTTTCAGCACCTTGTATTTATGTCGCAAGACCCTTGAGACCAGGGTCTTTGCAACAAGGCGTATCGAGTGACGAATCTGATTCCAAACACGCTGCTGCATAATAGTCGGTCAATCTCATTTCAGTTGAGGCAGTTTGGTATTTTCTCAGTCATGCATGTGCCAATGCATCCTTTCAGGGTCTCATCCATGATTCCCGTCGCTCGGTCTGTGAAACATCCTACCCAAGGTAAGCCATCCATTCAGACCTGGACGACCCTGAGCCAGGTACCAGCGCTCCGCACCTCGTCTCCGGCGCTCCCCGCCCCAGCGCCAGCTTGTCCCGCAGGGAAAGCTCAGCAGTTGCAATGCATGAGTAAGTTTCAGCTACCATTTCTTTTAACATCATAAATGGGTCACGTGACTTAAAAATTAATTTGTATTACTGTGTGAAACAGAGTTATGCTGCGTGTCCAACTTGACGTATGAACTTTTTGAGCGTCTGAGACATGTCTTCGTTGCTCGGGCTGTGAAAGGCTGTTGAAAGAACGAAAACGCTTTTTCAGTCTAAGGCGACTCGAACACGGCGCCCACGCTCTGCGGTCCAGCCCTGGCGCTCTCCTCCTGGCGCTTGGCGCTCTGCAGTCCAGCCCAGGCGCTCTCCAGTTCGGCGCTCTCCAGCCCGGAGCAATCCTGCCCGACGCTCTCCAGCCAAGCGTTCCCTAGCCCGGTACTTCGGACACTTGGCCGCTCCAGTGCCAGACGTGTGCCCACACCAGAAACCAAAACCACCAACCAACCAGAAACCAGAAGATTGAAACACCTTATGTGTGTGCTGCCGAGACGATCACGTATCTTGAATGCGTGTCATGAATATATATGTACATAGTTGTATGTTGTTTCATTATATGTTGCACGTCAGGACCTTGATCAATAATGATGAAAAAACCAGGGATTTCCTAAGAATGTCGTTTCTACACGACCTCTGTCATTGTACATAGTTGCATGTTCTTTCCTTATATGCCGTCCAACAGACGTCATTTAAGACGTCATAATTACGTCATTCAAATCCTGCAATTTCACAAGCCATGTGGCGACCAAGACCACATACATATTTGATCGTCGAGGTGTCATATTTGGTGTTCGTGAGCACGATTTCCAGACATAATGGCCGTCAACTGGCTCTCAACCAATGTTCTGCGGGGTGCGATGGCGATTGATAAGCATATTTACTGAACAGGAATGGGACTGTCTATCAGTCTCTTTCACTTAAAAATTATGCTTATAATTTTGGGCGAGCTGCTTCGTCATATCTGAGGCTTGCTGTAACATTTTCAAGTGTGAAACATTCCCTTTAGAGTCCCCCGTGTTCTCCAAAGTCCCCCGTGATCTTCAGGCCTAAGCCGCTCTAGTTGCTGATCCGCACTCCCGCAAGGATGTGCAGACTACTACGTGCAGAACATTTCCAGGTCACCCAGGCATTGAAGACGCCATACCAGTTATTTCACGTCTGCTCTTCCATTACCATGTGGCGATCAAGGTCAAAACAAGCATACGCGTCGTGTCGTTCATACCCGCCGTTTGTGAGCACGATTTCCACCCAGCCAGCATGTTACATGGCCCACAAGGGCTAAACGTAAGGTAACTTGATTAATATCGACATGGGCTACAAGTGGGCGGCCACTACTGAGCTCCAGCTGGGTCCCAAATGAGATGCCAGCATCATGCCATATTTCTACATGCACCAGAAATGTTCGTGCCTGGCACTGCCCCATCGGAATTTACCATGACAAAAAAATTACGAAGAGGAAATGCATAAGGCAGTGGCAAAAACCTTGTTCCTCAAAGAAAACCAGGCGAATGGAATATATATATATATATATATATATATATATATATAATATATATGCAGTGATATTTCCGCAAAGTTCCTTTATCGAAACGAACGGCAAAAGTGAATTCACAATTGCCTGCCAATGATCCTATCCGGTTTCTCATGTTTGTTTTTTTTGGGACGAGGCGAGTCACATTTTTTACAGGGCACCTCTATTCAGGTGATTATAAAAAGCAACCTGCCAGCCATTACCTGCGCACAGTGCATATCTAACCAAGAATTAGAATGTGCGAAAAAACGTGTGCAAGCAAACGAATTCAAGTAGAGGCATCACGCATCACGCTTTATTCAAACATGCATATGAGTTCGAGTAAGCAAGCATTCACATTACGCATCAGTACACATGCAAACTATTTCAATAAAACAGGCATGGCGCATTCACACATCTTAGCGTCTTCAGACACTACTTTAAAAATTTAAAACGATTTTAAAGCTACCACACGTCATGCATCAAGGCACATGTGGACAACTTGGGTTCACAATCAACATGGTCTACAGGTGGGGGTGGCATCCCGCTTTATGTGGGACCGCAGATACCACCAGTGGGACCCAGACGTCATATGTGGGCTGCCCACATGTCACCGTCTTGGTTACATAGGCACATAATGTTGATGAGCTGTGTTTTCATGTCGTGTTCTGCCATGTAGTGTGGCGAATTATTTCACATGAAGTAACAGCTCGTAAGGCTGTGCTGCACATGTGGTTTGCATTGGCAGGTTCGGCCCTCGTTGACATGGGTTGCAGATGGGCTGGTGTCTAGGGCTTTATCTGGCACCTAGAAAGGCTGTAATCGTCCTGTTCACATGGACACAACACTACAGTTCTCATGTTCTGTTGTTCATATTTTGGGGCTCTTGTGTCCCGTGCAAAAAGGTAGGTGTGTCCCGCTGGTAAGGATGGGATCCACATGGCTTTGACATCGGCAAACTAGGCCCACGTTAACACGGACTGCACATGGGCTGATATTTGGACCTTATCTTGGACCCAGATGAGCTGCCTACAGCCACTGTCTTGGTCACATCGATTCATCATGTTTATGCTTTGTGTTTTCGCCTCGGGTTTCGCCTGATCTCGTACAAATTATTGCGCAACCTTGGGCAGCAGGCAAGGCTGGGCTCCAGGTATTTGTATGGCAAAGCTGGGCACACAACCGACATGGATTGTAAGTTAGGTAGTATCTTGGCTTTGCCTGGGGCTCACATGGACTGCCCACAAGCCGCCGTCTCAGGCAACATTCTTGACACCATCGCATGTGACCGATGAAACTGTTGCTGGCACTGCGCCTTTAGAATATGCACGTACGAAAGGCTCGGTATGGGAGCAAGATGTATGGAGCATAGAAACAGCCAATCGAGTATTGTTTGTATATGAGGACAAAGGTGAGTACGGCCGACCCTTTTAACCACTGTTTCTGTGAACAGTCTGTGATTTTTCTCGCGTGTTTCACGATTCCATACTGAGAAAAGTAGATGTTTCTCGACACGATTCCATACTGTGAAAAGTAGCTGCTGCTCCACACGATTCCATACTGTGAAAAAGTAGCTGCTGCTCCAGCTTTGGCTAAACATCTCCGTTCCTCTCACTATACCCTAAGTCGCGGCCGCACGCACGATACAGCTATCATACCACAGACCCCCCCTCCCCCCCCCCTATGCTGATTCGCGCCTACATGGCGACGCAAGGTGGGCACGAGTCAACGCCGCGGACGCCCGTTTTGCGCACCAGCTTCATCCCCGGCAGTGCCTGCCATGATGAACTGCCTGCACACAGCATTCTGTCGGTTTCATGAAGGGTCGGGGCCTTTTCCTGTAGGGGAGCTGGTTTCAATCTGTTCCATGCAGAGTTATATTGATTTCGATCAGAGCTATAGTGAGCTCTGTTGAATGAGAGCAGATCTCCTTTAAGTCAAGTTTATTCGGAACTCGCTTCGTGATTTATAGCTGGCCGCGACGACCAGCCTCACTACGATGGTGCGGGACTTGCGTTTTACGTTGCAGCTTTCACAAGGGATGGGATGAACACGTAGGCAGTGTAGGCTTGGACTCGCATGGGCTGCCCATAAACCACCATCTTGGCCACATGCTTGGCCCATTGCTACTATCAGCGTACACTTTTTCGCATGCTCTGGTCAAAAAAATGGCATTTTCATGGCAGTTTATCCATCGGCATGCATCCCCGGCATGCATCGTTTTCGTGTAATTTTCTGTTTATACTTTTTCAAAATAGGTCAACTGGCAATTTGTCCCAGGCTAGCCACCAAAGCTGAGTGTCTTGTATTCCGGCATGCAACCTGTTATGTACATATTCTAATGAAACAAACACTATCTTTGAGCAACCTATGTGTATGGATAGCTGCGTATAAACACATAGCAAAAACATCTTAACTCACGTTACAAATCTGCATGAGAATATGTGGGTTCTTAAAAGAGTCTTACTCTGAAAGGTATTGGCGTACAATCACAGCATACGACTTTTTCCCACTGATGTTTGCGCCCATAGTAGCACCAGGGCACTAAAATGCTAAGAAGGGGTGAACTTTTCAAAACATTTTCCGACCTTATCAGACTTTTGTTCGAAAATTCGAACGCTGGCGGAAAATTTGAAGTATGAAATTTGCCTCTTGTGCGGAGTTTGTGGAATTTTCATATCGCCGGATGGATGGCTCGAATGATCACACGGATGCAATGATCATACGGATATGCATGACTTGGAGATCTTCAGCGTGCGATTCAGGGCATGCGACAGTTGGTGTACTTCAACCGCGCACCAGAGCTCGGGATACGCGCGCCAACCCAGGCATGTGTCAACTGAAGATGCACTGGGCCCATGTCGACCAAGGAGCCCGTGTTGGCCTGGCCAACATTGGCCAGGGGCTCACTGGCCCATGTGCCCCTTGATGATCGAACTGGAGGGGGCTCAGGCGTAGCTCATCGTCGGCCCCGGGAGACCTCGCTTGGCACCCTGAGCACCGTTGAAGAGGGGAGACAAACACGTGGTCTTGCGGTGCACGGTCGGTCTATCCCGCCAGTTGTGGGAGCGCTGATCAGTTTTTTGGACACCGTTTTGCTGACAAAAGTAGTAGGGTCAGTTCAGTTTTGTTCTTTCCGGTGCGTCTTGAAGATGCTTCAGCCTCTGTCTGCAACGAAAATCCGGAATGGGACCCCAAATGAAGGTCACTGTCCCTGCATTTTCAACCAACAGAAGCCCTTCGTTCATTATTAGTTTGGAAAGATAAGACAGCTGTAAAGCCTTATTCCTTGTAGAAAAACCAGGAGAATAGAGATGTAGATCAGTTGATACTTCGGCAGCATACCTTTTTCAAAGCAATAGCAGAGGTGAATTCAAAATTGCCTGCCGATGATCCACTTCGATTCTTCATGTTTTGTTGTTGTTTGAAACAGTAAGCCACAGTTTTTACAGAGCACTAGCTTTCAGGGGACTAAACAAAGAACGATTGCAAGCCATTACCACGATACAGTGCCTATCTAAGAATTACATTATGCGAACATATGTGTGTATGCAAACACGTGTGGTTTGCGTGCTTGGTTTTTTTCTATTTCATCTCTTGATGATGGTGCCCTGTAAAAACTGTGGCTTGCTGTTTAAAAAAAGAATCGAGTGGAATCATCGGTAGGCAACTTTGAATTCACTGCTGCTATTGTTTCGATCAAAAGTGTGTTGCCGAAATATCAGCCTAACTATATTTCCATTCTCCTGGTTTTTCTTCGAGGAATGCGGCAATTACTACTGCATTATCTATGTCAATAATGTTCCTCGCTAATGTACTGAGCGACTTAGGTAGCTTAGAAAGAGATTCCTCCATCAACCTTTGTTTCCATCAGCGTCTTTGACTTCTTGATGGGTTTCATGGGAAAATTCGAAACTTTCCCAATCTTTCAACTTGACGGAAAACACCGATGGTTGCAGATCTAACGGTACAAAGGCTCGTGGCGCGACCCCACCAGCATCAAGTATCACATCTATGTAACCAGACCTCATCAACCACCCGCTTAAAAAACGAGGACGGAAGTGGCGTGATCTGTATTTCTGCACGTTTGCGGCTGGCAGGCGTGACAGCCACCCAAACACGCGGCAAAATGGCGCAGCGGCGAGCGCGGCCCACGGCGGATGGTGGTTGCGGTGGCGACTTAGATCTTGGCGCAGTGGGGGGCCCATAGGCTCCGTGTCGACACACTTGGTGTTGGCCGGACAGTATCTTGCGTTCGCAGGCCAAGTTTTGCTGTGGGCAAGTGGGCATGTCAGCGCTGTAGTTTGAGTCGATGCTTCCATTCCATGGTGGCAATGCACTCACTATGAGAGGCCATGATGGCTGAACGAGAGGCGCTGTCTGGTTTCCGGTACGTTGATGCATCGCTCGCGCTTTGTTCTGAACTATCCGACTTGTAAGACATCCGACTTGATAAGACATAACTAGTAAGACATCTGACAGTTTAATAGTTCCACATCCGCTGTGCCGAATTGGTTGGGTAAGGGACCCTCAGATCATGCTCCACATGATAAACTAGATAAGCCAGTGGGACAAAAAAACGGTCTAGCAAGGGTCGACGTCCTTTGTGGCTGGCAGCGCCATCTGTGGTTAGCATCGTCATCCTTGATGCAGAGCAGCCCCACAAGCCTAGTAACGCCATCTACATCACTTGAGCCGCTCCTAACTGTCTGTGTCCGTGATGGACGGGGAAAGAAGTCCTCAATGTCCGCACTCACTCGGGCCTGAACCACTGAAGGTGTGAAACACCACCCCCCCGGCCGCCAAACTGGTCTGGTGCCTGGCAGCGGTGCCAACCGCTCTGAACTTACACTGGCCCTTGCGGCAAAGGGGCGCCACTCGGTGTGTCGATGCAGCTCAGGCCCCGCGCGCACACGCGCACCTCGCACGTGTTGGGCAGGCAGACGGGGGAGCCATCACGGATGTAGCAGTTGGTGCCGCGGCGACAGAAGAAGTCCTTGCACGACGGCACATCTGCGGCATCGGTCAGCGAGTGTTTAGGTCACTGGCCTACCTTGCCGATCCCAACGCTGAATCGGACCAGATTCCGTTCAAACTTCAGGCACTGGGTGATGTGCTGAACCGAGTAAAAACAGCAGGTACAGAGCTGCCTAGGAAACATCGGTGACAGCGTTACAGAGGTCGTTTGTCCTGAGTGGACCATTTTCCACACCAAATTTGGGTGGCCTGTTCTTACTTGGTCCCTATGTCTAATCGGGAACAAGCTGCGTTAGCGCAGCAAATCTATCATACAAAGCACAAGAAATAAATGTACAGCGTCTTTGGAGCATGGTCCGCGCCGAACACCTGGGCAATGGCGAGACGGGCGACAGTGGCGAGTTACCAGCGGCTGGCCGCTTCACAAAGCCGTTTCTGTGAAATGAAGACAGATAAAAGTCCCAGACGGTTGCCATTCTTCATTTGGAATCCACCCTGCCGAGACAGGCCCGTGCCGAGCCATCAAGCACCGACGGCGAGTCCACTGCAGCTCCACTTCGCGGAGCATTGGAAGCCCTCGCCGATCGGCAGACGCCTGCGATGATGAGAGGTCACTGCCCTGAGTGGCCGAGGTCACCGCCCGGGGTGGCCGAGGTCACCGACCCACCAGAGGTGGCCTGACGGCAGGCCGGGATCTCTCACCTGGCACGCAGTCGGGGCCATCGGGCAGATCATTGCAGAGCTCGCCGGCGGCGCACTTGATGTCGGCGCAGGTACCTATGATCAAAGGGTAAGAGATCTTAGACACGCATGCCCCTCCCCTCTCACACAAACGTCACACACATACCATTGTGATACACATGCGGCGTTGTAACGAGACACTGAGACGATCACGGTCAGCGGGGGAAGGGAACTTGATGATGTAAGTTGGTCAGTGCATCTGCAAATGCGAGCAGTCTGGTTGGCCGTGTTCGACATTCGTGAGTGATGAAAAACGTACTGTTCGTAGTCTATTCTTCTCATCCATTTCTCGCTATTTATTCATTCCTTAACGTGGAATAAGACTGCTCTTAAGGAGTTTGATGCTAGCGGTTTTGACTGAGCATTCATACACCAAATGTAGTGAAATGCCCTGGAGCAAGCTGAGAAAAGTGAGCCACACTGGAGGATGTGCTGCTGCCTACTTATGTGTAACACAAACATGATTCAAGAAATGCCGTTCTACTTCAATTTCCTAAGAATCTTTCCTTTTTGTGTTTATTTTTCAGGTCTTCATACCACTTCGTAGACTGCCTTGCAAATATCTAGCCTCTCCTTCATCGAAGGCCCAAAACAATTTTCCTGTAGGCCTTGCACAAGCCGAAAAGGGAAATGTAAATCATATTAAAGGGAGGATACTTATATCCTAAGAAACACATAAACTTACCTGCGTAAGTGCCATGCTACTTAAATTCCGACTGTTGCTTTTTTCCTTGGACACGGTTACACCAGGACATGCTACTACTTCGTACACTGCACTGCAACTGTCGTTTATCGGATCTCCTTCCACGGAGCCATTCTTCCATGCATCCATACCACCCCGTACATCACGCCGCAAATGCCTTTCCTCACACCAATTTCGTTTAAAGCCCTTCGTCCAGAAACAGTGCGGGGAAGGGCTTTGCCATCATCGCAGATGTGAACGTCGCGGCGTAAAAAGGCAGCACTCACGTGGCACACACACGGGGCCGGTGGGGCGATCTTCACACTTCTCGTTCTCCTTGCACTTGTGTGTTTTGCAGGTAGGAACCTCTGAAAATGTTATTCAGGCATGTCAAGATATTCTTCATAGAGGCGATGTCTTAGAAGATTGAAGAATAGATAGGAGTGCATTCCAAACGATTGAATGCATTTCAGTCACACCTGTATTCTGAAAATTATCAACTTTGCAGCGTGAATGTTTATGGCGATATGGGCTGTACTGATCACCTCGTCAAACTCGGGCCGTTATGATAATGCTTGCCTAAGTCGTCAAACCGAAATGCTAACATTTAGAGGACACCTTATCTGTAAAGCTAGCAGGTCAACTTTGGAGTCAACGTGGGCTAGAATAACACCCATAGTTAGCCTCAGTGCCTTGCACTGCTCTTCACGGTAGACATATGTAACGAGGCTCTGATGGGCATTGACTGAAAGTCCGAAATTAACCATGTAACCTTATCTAAATGGTATCGTTCCTGATGACCTGTTCCCAGGTTCCACGGACGCTCCCGGCACATAGAAACACCCATACATGTGTCGATGACGCGGATTGTGTTTGCCTTCGGATGGACGGGGAAATGTTCAATACGAGGCCTCAAGCCATGAACGAGGCGGATCTGGAGACGTCTGCCAGGGGTGAGGTTCGCTTACTTGGCACGTACTTAAAAGAGGTATGCTGGGGATGGGGTCTGCTCACTCGGCCCGGACTCTAGAGAGGTCTGTCAGGGGTGGGTCTGCTTACTAGGCAGGGAATCTAGAGAGCTTGGCCAGGGGTGGGGTATGTTTGCTTGGTCCGGACTCTGGAGGGGTGTGCCAGGGGTGGGGTCTGCTTACTTGGCACGCACACCTCGCACGACTGGATTTCGCACTCGCTGTTTTCAGGGCAGGTCTTTGAGCAAGCTGCAACAATGAAGGAGAACGTTAGGCATCGGCAGAGTCCTTTTACCCTTGAGATAACTGAAAGGAAATGTTAACAAGGCGAGTTTCCCGAACACACTGAGAGCAGTGCGCATATGCAACGTTCAAATGTTTTGTCTCGGCTCGGAATGAACTCGGGTTGTATTAGGTACGTTCCTGAAGACTTTTTCGTCAGGCTCCATAGACTTCCTCTGCCCATGGAAGCGCGCTGATATTCTTTAGCACGATGTCTCGAAAGCACATATCAAGCAACTTTGAAATCTTCTGCTATCGACAGGTGGCCCACATCAGTCAGCGCCATACTCGGGCCGCTTGGTTATCACGGAGGTCAGCACCGACCACGCGCACTACATCTGGATGCAATTCGTAGGGAAGAGCACTCTGCAGTAGGCAGCCGTCCCCGAAGGGAACAAAACAGTACACTCACTTTTGGGTGTGGGCGCTGGCTGGTAAGAGTTCTGGGCGGCGGCGTAGGCCACCAGAAGGCAGAGGATAACGACGCGCATTATTGGTGCTGTATGTCGCTGGGAAGATGGGAACGGTGTCACAAAGCGCCACGGAAACGCTGTCATAGAGCGTCACCGAAACGCTGCCACAAAGCACCACAGAAACGCTGTCACAGGGCGCCATGCGAGCATTGCCTCAGGCCGCACAGAGCGCCACGGTGAAGGGTCTCGCCCGGGACGAAGCGGGATCAGGCCGAGAACGGCGCTCGGGACATAAACCTTGAGTTTGTATGCGTTCGTAATTGGGAAAGGGCAAGTTTTTTTCGGGGGTCTCCTCCATGCAGGCCTCACCCACGTAAAAACAGACAGCGGGTGAAGAGGCAAGCTGTGAACTATTCATCTGAGCTCAAAATTATAATCTTCAAACGAAACGCTCCAAAACCAAGTTTTTCACCCTGTTCATGAAAGTGAGCTCGATGTACCGAACCGACCTTGACGAGCTGGCAATACGCTTACAACCGAGTTGTTAACATATCTAGAGCACTCAGTTCCTGGCGCTCCGCGGCGCCGAATGAAGAGTGCCGCGCTATCTGCCGCGCGATCTACTAACCGGTGATGATTCGGGGTTGCCACGGGAGAGTTGGTACGCCCGTGAGCAGTCTGGCTTTATATACATTTCTCGGGTGGCAGGCCGGCGGGCACGTGCTCCACCAGGGGGGGGGGGCTCAACCCGGCCGGACGACTTTGGGCGGCACCGGCCGCACCGGCGCGCAGCAGCGCCCGCCTTCCGAGGAAACCCACAACGCTGCTCAGGCGTAGCGGCGGTGAAGCAGCGCCACTGGAAGGTTAAGTTACATGGCGAAAGACACGGGCACCGGTCAGATTATGTGCATCTGGAGAAGACGCTGCGAGCTGTTCCAATCCACAACAGGTGACATGTGGTGCGCTCATATTCAAAGTCAGACGATGACCACGCGACGTTTGTCCATGTTGCAAAGCGGGACAAAAGGAGATCACTCAGTTTCGAGGGTTGGCGACATGAGAATCGGTATTGCCATTAGATTCACAAGAAAACAAATGTTAACCCGGAAAAAGGCAGGGTCCACCGCTGGCTTGCATCGAACCTTACATGGAATCATTTTCGTCAGAAGGCACAGAACTTAGAGGTCGAAAGGCAGGACGGCCAGGTCGGGCAACATCGAACTTCGGATCAGCTACCAGCATTCGCGATAGCTCCCTTCGTATTTGTGCCTGTTTTTGGTGGCGTGCCTCAGGCAGGCCCCAGAGCCTGCCACCTAAGCACTTTGATACCAGGGCGTCCTTTCATCGGATTCAGGCGACTCTGTTGCAGGACGCCAAAAGCGGGACTCTCAGAAGCCTTACAGGGCGGCGTCCCATGGCCCCGGTACATGGTCGCTGCTGAGCTCAAACTGCCCAATCGCTATACAACGCCATGTACCCCGATATAGCTCGTCCCGTGCCCATGTAGAGTGGCACCCCTTGTCTTACACCAGTGAAATGTGGACTGGAAAGGGAGAGTCAGTCACAGTAGAGCAGAGTTATGCTGTAGTGTAAAAAGTTCCACCTTTTTCGGGGTCTGGATGCGCAGATGAAGGTGACACATCCCAAGATGCCACACCCTACTCTGCAGAGACATACAAGGGCAAACAGTTGTGTTCCCTACTTTCTTCGCTCTGTGGCTGGATGACACGGGAGGGGTTCACGCCAGTTGACGAAGACACGCTTAGGAAAGACTGGACGCTGAGTTGTACCAGTTCTGGCTTTTGCAACGCATCATGTCAATGAGCATATGACTAGAATACACGATGAATATGTTCTTTGTACTGCATACGTAAATGAAATTGTATTTGTACCTATGCGGGCAGGTTGAAAGAGAATACCAGTATTTGTATTTCAACCAGCAAGGTTAAAGGAGAAGTGCCGAAGCCATTCTAACATGCCTGGTACTCCCAAAGCAAAAACTGTGTCGCTTAAGGACGCTTTTATACCGCATGTACAGCTCCTCTGTGTACTATCCGTTAGTTCCTGACCTAAACGGCAGCAACTCCGATTTCGGGGGACACGCGTATCTCGGACATTGCCCAAAGAAAGGCCTCTCAATTTCAAGAAGGAGACCAACTCCTAGCTTCAGAAATGCCTCCGCACTATCATTTCAGTCTCCGAGACACCCGTATATTTTCGGGCAGCCCGCGAAGACAGCTCTTTCTTTTCCCACACAACCGCTGTCGTTTTCAGTGCCAAAGCATATTAGTCTGTAGAAGACGGTCACACGTCGTGTGTACTCCACACGCACCAGGCTTCACTAGCACCAAACCCCGCACGCACCAGGTGCCACACGACCGGCGCGGCGCCGCCCACCAACTGGCCCTCGAGAGGCTCTGCTCAAGTGGTCGGTCCATATCAATTTTTGGAGAATCGCAATACACGGCTCCGTGGAGTCGTAAACTTTTGAAGCATGTGCTGCTCCCACTTTTTGGAGCGATCCCAGGTAGAGCGTGGCGTCACCTTGACATCGCTGGTTTTACTAGCCGGCAACGGCTGGCCAAAGTGAACGCGTAAGCTGATCCACAAATCGGAGGACTGTGACTCAGCGAGCAGCGGTAGCTCTTCAAACCGGCGCGATATCAGTCTGCCCCAGTTGGACCCCCCCCCCCCTCCCCCACCCCCCACCCAGCCCGACTCGCCCCTTTCGGCCCACAAAAGTTGAGGCAGTCAAGCTGTTGTTATTTGTTGTTGAGCTGTCGAGCTGTGATGAGTGTGGCTGCCTCACGCCGGGACGGTTTGCCTGAAACAGATCAGCGCTGAGAACGAGACTCGGAACGAAAACTGAACGTAAAACTAGCCCACGACCAGAGGTTTTGGGCCAGCGACCTACCAATGCAGCGCTTTGGGCGACGGTCAACGTAAAATGACAAAAAATGAACTTCGTGCCCATGCGTTTGCCGCCGGTCCATGACGAGGCTGCTCACAACTTCGCTGCAGTAACTAACTAGCCACTAACAAACCATGCAGATCACAGAAATCCTCCAGGAACTATAGGACGGCATCTAGTAGACTTAATCATGGCGGTTATCTCTGCTTCGGTGTGTTAGGAGCCTGGAGGTCGTGTCCGCTCGGTGCGCTGGGGGCCTAGAGGTTCTGGCCGCTCACGCCGCACCTGGCCGGTGCAAGAGCCGATAATGCCTTAGCGGCGTCCCTGACCCAGCCCGGCACGTGCCATTTAAAGGGCGGGATGTCCTTGGGCCGTTGTGCCACTTCCATTCGTGGTGCCGCTGCCGCTCACTGGCTGCGGTTTTGCTGGGGCCTGTGGCGGGGCTCGGTTCGTCACAGTGGTGCGAGCTCTCCATCGGCACGACCGACAGCGACGCTCCCGGTCACATTCGCGGGGCACCGATAGCACATGGCGCGTCGACCCAGACCCTCTTTGTCTAGGTGTGCCAGGCCGCATGGGCGTGATGAGTCCAGTGCATGCGTCTGGCTGCAGCGGCAGACGCCGCTTGAAGGGAGCATCCCACCGCTGAGGCATAGCTCAAAAACATACTCGGATAAAACCAGAAGCGGCAACCTCTAATTGGAATTCTGAGTCATTTGGACTGATTTCCACAAAACTGGTATTTCCGATGAAATCAGAGGCGTCTGGTCTGACATTAAGTGAAAACAACAAAAAGGTGGCATGCTTCCTTAAACAGCGAGCGGCGCCGCTGTGTCATATACCTCATGTGCACCGTCACGATAAAGATCAGAGTTGTCCAGTCTCGTCACCAAACCACTACCTCAAAGAGGATGTAAGTCAGAGATACCTCGCCAAGCACTCAGCCCACTGAATCAGCGTGCTCGTGCCGTGAATGATGTTCGCTGGGAGGGCAGGCAAGCATTCTGTTTGCAACAACCTCAGCTAATCCCCCATAGGACGCTAACAGTGGCCTTGTTGTTATACGCTAGACAAGTCCATGTCACTGACATCGGCTGTAAGTCTATCACCGTGCACGTTAAGATCACGAAAGCAAGGCTATGTCTTCAGCCACCCACGATGTATCGTACCCGTTCATTAGGAATGATGCAGACATTAGATAAGAAGCAGAACAAGTAAGTTCTTCATTGCATTTGTAAGGGACATTATGTACATAGATAGGACAGTAGCACTAGCTCCATTCCTCGGATAAAAACCAGGAGAATGGAAATATAGATGGGTTGATTCTCCGGCAACAAAGCAGAACATACAAGATAATAATACTTCCGGTCAGCAGCAGGAATTTGAGACAAACTGGCGTAGTATTATCTTTATTCAGAGCGACGCTTAAGATATAAACCAGGTCACGCCCATAGCATCCGGGAACTCTAAATTTGCGTGATGCCCTCTTTTGAAAACCAGATCAACGAGGGATGCCTCAAAGGATATTTGAACTCGATATATATATATATATATATATAATATATATATATATATATAAATCTCTCTCTCTCGCTCTCTCTCCTCTCTCTCCTCTCTCCTCTCTCTCCTCCTCTCTCCTCCCTGCTCTCGCTCTCTCTCTCTCTCTCTCTCTCTCTCTCTCTCTCTCCTCTCTCTCTCTCTCTCTCTCTCTCCTCTCTCCTCTCTCTCTCTCTCTTCTCTCTCTCTCGTCATTGCGAACGTTGGGCATTTTGGATCTTGGAGGCTGTGAATCACAGTAACTTTCAGTAAGCATTACAGTAACTTTCGTGACAATACGTGCGCAAGCGAGACGGTAGCATTTACGTCAACATGTACTACGCATGGTGCTAACAATAGAAACTGCAAATTACGCTGTTTGTGAAGCAATCACGCCTTTTTTATCCGTCGTCGGTCTTTTGCGGGCAGGCTGACTTTGTTTATAATCGAACCTCCTGCTCCATTTTTGTCTCACTTCGACCAAGTAACGGAAAAGGTTCTGGCGTCCGGAAAGACTCGACGCGACGTCGCGTAGAGTCTCAATCAATCTCAGCCCGCGAACTCTCGATCTCAGCGACATCGGTCGGTTGAAAGTGTGCCACGGCTGGGAGACGACGGGCAAACTCTGGCTCCGCGACCGCAGA